GAAAAAAATATCCTCAGGTAAGGATTAAAAAATAAATAAATCCTCACTGGAGGATATTTTTCCATTCATCTTCAAATAGAGTGGGAAGGAGAAGGAGGGACAGAGGGAGGGAGAGAGAGAAACACTGAAGTGAGAGACATCAATTGGCTGCATACACACACGTACAACCCCAACTAGTATGGGGGACCAAACCGCAACCGAGGTACATGCTCTTGACAAATCGAACTGCAGCTCTTTGGGTGTTGCTCCAACCGCTGAGCCAAACCAGCCAGGGCAACAGTTTTAAATTGTTTATATTCTTGTTCATATATTTTAATTTACATGTATAATGGATCACTGGATTTAGATAGGAAGCTAAAGGATATTTATGCTTAAATACAAGTTAATAAGTGACATAAAAATATTAATCTACAAATTCACCACAAAATATTTTCTACCAGATCATCAGATCAAAATTCTTAACAGTCGTCCCTCACCACTTCGCACTTCGACTTCTGTGGCTTCACTCTATCACAGTTTTTTCAAATACTATACTATATTTGAAAAAACCACGATAGAGAGATGCTGGAAAAGTTGAAAGTCAAAGCACAAAGTGGAGAGGGATGACTGTATATAAATAAAGAATCCTCGTGGAAACTCATTTATTGTGGTAGAGTTTGGAACTGATTAACTGCTATAAACAAGGGCCGACTGTAGAGCACATCAAGATGTCTCTAAAACAAAGTTGAGAAGTGAAAGTAAAAATTAAATTGCTTTTGCAATTTAAGTTTTCAATTGTTGGGAATAAAGCCTAGGGAAAAAGAACTTTTTTTTTATCCTCACCGAGGACATTTTTCCATTTTTTGTTCAGATAGAGTGGGAGGGAGAGAGAGAGAAAACGTCGATGTGAAAGGGACACATTGAGTGGCTGCCTCCTTCACGACCCATACAGGGCCATGGACAAACTGCAACCGAGGTACATGCCCTTAGCGGGAACCGAACCCGGGTCTCTCCGGACCGCAGGCCGATGCTCTAACCGCTGAGCCAAACCAGCCAGGGCAAAACATAAAGCTTTTAGAAAATAGGAGAATCCTTCAACTTCACAGTAGACAAAAATTTCTTAAAAAGCAATAATCCTAAAAGAATATTTGACAATGCCTGGCCAGTGTGGCTCAATGGTTGAGTGTTGACCCATGCACCAAGAGGTCGCTGGTTTGATTCCCAGTCAGAGCACATGCTCAGGTTGTGGGCCCGATCCCTAGTGGAGAGAATGCGGAGGGCGGCCAGTTGATGTTCTCTCTCACTGATGTTTCTCTCTCTGCCTTCCTCTCTCTCTAAAATCAGTAAAGAAAAAATATTTAAAAAAAAAATTTGACAAATTTGTTTTCAAAATTAGAAAATTCTCATCAAAATATTAAGAAAATAATGAGGTTAACTACAGACTGAGAGACATGTTCAGATCTGACTGGTACTGAGGCTATCTAAAGAACTCCTACAACTCATTAACACAGTGGAGAAACAACAGAGTTAAATAGATTTGAATAGATACTTCAAAATGGAAGATTAAATGAATGGCCAATAAGCACACAAAAAAGTCCTCAATATCATTAGTGACCCTGGAAACAAAGGCAAGCCACTATGAGAAATCACAGCACATCCACCAGAATGGCTAAAATAAAATATACCTAATAACAATACCAAATGTGGGCAAGGAGGTGGAAAAATGGAACCACTCATACATTGTTGGTGGGAAGATAAGATGGTATAGCCAGTCTGAAAAATATGGCATTTTCTTACAAAACCACATAGGTGTTTACTATATGACCCTAAAATTGCACTCTTGGGCATTTGTCCCTCAGAAATAAAAAACTTCACCTAAAGTTCACTAAGAACCTACAAATAAATGGTCATAGCAACTGACAGGGAGCAGTTTGTCACCCCAAAATATGCTTTTTGGGGCTATATGATTTTAAACTGGTTACTTTTAAGAAAACAGAAGACTCAGGAAGAACCTTTGACCTTACCATTAAACTGCTGTGAATCCAAAACGGACTTTAATAAATCTGACAAGTTCAGTGACAGAAAAGTAACCTCACAGGATGATCTGATCATCAATTCTTAACTAGGCAGGTCCTGGTGTGTAGTCACGCCCCCAAATTTATAACTTCTTTAGCAAAAGTTTTATCTTCACCTTAAACAATCCCTGTCCATTATTCTTGTGAATCTAGGCTTATACACCTTTGAAATGGCAGCGTTAATCCTCTTTTTCAGACCCCTGGAAGTACAAACACCCTCCAGGTAGCACATAATCTTGTTAACTATCCTGTAATCCAGTCAGAGAGAAACCCACCCCGCTTTGCTTTCTCCCACTTGCATGCAATCTTCCTTACATTCCCTCAATTCCAAATGTATAAAAAGAACGGCAAAACTGTCCTCCAGAGCATTTTGATATCTTGCTTCCTGGCACGTTGCCAATTTGGTTTAACTAAACTCTTATAAAACTTCTCTACAGGTTTGGACATTCTTACATGGACAACACTGTACCATGCACTGTGTTCAGTCCCAGTGAGATTGCCACAGGGTAAAGGCCACCATTAAACTATTCCAATCTAGATCCCCAAATCTCTGTAAAAATTACCCTTGACCTCCCCTCTGAGACACGATTGTTAAAATATTGTTCTACCTTAATGCAGTAAATATGGTGTGTCTTTTTAATCCTCACCCTAGGATATGTTTGTTTTCCTTTGAACTGATTTTAGAGAGAGAGGGAGAGGAAGGGAGGAAGGGAGTGAAAGAAAGGGAGAGAGAATGAAATATCAATGTGAGAGAGAAACATCAATTGGTTGCCTCCTGTATGTGGCATGACAGGGGATTGAACCCTCAACCTGGGTATGTGCCCCGACTGGGAATCAAACCCAAGACCTTACACACTCCAACCGAGTCACACCGGCCAGGGCTCTGGTGGTCTCCTTTTTTTTGGATATATGTTTATTACTGAAAATATTACAGATGTTCCTTCCTCCCCTCCCCCATCCCATCTTCATTTTTTTTTTTTAATCCTCACCCGAGGACATTTTTTGATATTTTGTTCAGATAGAGTGGGAGGGAAACATCGATGTGAAAGGTACACATGGAGTGGTCACCACCCACACAACCCAACCAGGGCCTGGGACAAACTGCAACCGAGGTATGTGCCCTTAGCGGAAACTGAACCTGGGACTCTCCAGACCGCAGGCAAACGCTCTAACTGCTGAGCCAAACCGGCCAGGGCCCACCTTCATTTTTTGTCACCAGTGTCTATTGGTTATGCCTACATGCATATAAATTGTTTGGGGGAATTAACATAGACAATTGTAGGGAAGAGACTTCACAATCAATAAAGTTTGGGAAATGGGTATGACTTCAAGCAATCTGGAGTATTTGGGAGTATCACTGTATTGTCCCGACAGAGTTATCAAAAGATTTAGGAATATAGGAAGTCAGAGAGGAAGAAAAATATCTAAAGGAGTATATCCTATCAAAATGAAGATAGTAAGAGCTGTAGAACTTCCTTTCTTTCCTGTCTTCATGAAGATGACAAATGAGAACATCTGGATGAATCAATATAGTCAATTATTTAATTGATATGTCATTATAATTTGTATTACTTCGAATTTTGAGATTGTGTCCTCATATGCTGCATGTTCATTTCCAGGATGCAGTTCTTAGGCTATGTACAAAAAAAGCCCTCTGTGGTCCTAGCTCCAATTTACCTCTGTGTACCTCCACTCAAACTTTAAACCGCAGTATTTTAACTGCTGGCAGTTCCTCTGCATTGTTTTCTAAATTTGAACTCTCACTCTTCTCTTGTACTGCTATCCTCATTCCTAACTTTACAATTTTGTCAGGATGTATTTCAAGAAAGCCTTCCCCCAAGCCCTGGGGTAGGATTTGGTAGCACCCTGGAGTATTACTATCACAGCACTTAGGCATTGTGTTGTCTTTACCTGTTTATAAGTTTTTCCCACCAAAATGAGTTTCATGAGGACAAATTCAGTAACTTACACGTATTTGAATATCTAAGAGTTCTACAGTACCCGGCATTCTGTGGGGTTAAATAAATGTTTTTTGAATTAAATTGAAGGGTGAGCCCTTGCCGGTTTGGCTCAGCAGTGATGGAAGGGTCGCGGGTTCAATTCCTGGAAAGGGCACGTAATGGGTTGCAGGTTCCATCTCTGGCTGGGAAGGCAACCAACGGATGTCTCTCACTGATGTTTCTCTCTCTTTTCTACTCTATCTAAAAATGAATGGAAAAATATCCTCAGGTAAGGATTAAATCCAAAGCATGAAATCTCGTTAAGTTGCCAGGACCTCCCATAGCTTAACTGGTTGCAGGTCGGCAGAAGCGCCCTAGAGGTGAGTCAAGCCATAGCAATGAGGTCGTGAGGTCACATAACTGTGAGGCCAAGTCATTAACAATAATACCGGTCGGCAAAACTGAGAAGAGCGAGAACAGGTCTCCAGGGTCTGGAATTAGGTGCCAGCGCCCACTTCTGAATCATCTTTCCGCAGGCACCACAGACCTCGGCAGGGGCCCGAACCCGCTGGAAGCGGCAGGCGCTTCCGAGGAGAGTGGTGCCCAGCAGCTCGGGCCCCAGAGCCCACGGCCACCCACTGCGGACGCCAGGCCCAGGGCAGGCTGTCTCCCACAGCGTCGCCGCGCGTACTTCCTGCCGCAGTCGGTGTCCTCGAGCTCCTCGCAGCGTGCGGGGCCGAAGGGCAGGCGCCGCGGGCCTCGTGCCCGGGAGCCCCGCGCGGGCGCTCAGCGCTGCTTCCACGGGACGTGGCTGGGCGGGCGGCTCGGGGACCGTCTCCCCCGCACACCTCGCGACGTGGGGAGGGGCTCGTATTTCTTCTGATATAAGGCTACGGATAATGAGTTCAAAAAAGGGGCTTAGTCTGAGCACCGACGCGACTCTAGGCTGCAGCTCTCGCTCCAAACGCCCCCTCGGAGAACCGCTCCACTCCCCTTCCCCGGGCGGAACCGGAAGGGGAGGGCCTTCGCCGCCATGGCAGCCCGTGGGGTCGTGGGCATTTTTCTCCTCTCTGCGCTCCCCCTCTTGTGCCTGGAGTTCCGGCGTGGGTTTCCGGACCTAGGTAAGTGTGGGCTTTCTCCTCTTGGCGCTCACCCCCGGTAACTTTCCCACGAGTGGGACGTAGGCGCACGGCGTGGACTACGACTCCCAGGCTGCATCGCGCCCGCCTCCCTCCTCTGGCGCCGGCCCCTCCGGGGGCGAGCGGCGGGCCCCTCGGGAGGCCGGCTGCGCGCGGCGGGCGGCGGCCCTGCGCATCTGCGCGAGTTGTGGTGTAAGGAGTCGGACACAGCAAGTCCAGGAACGAACATAGACACGACTTTCAAGCTGCCTTGAATGCTCAAAAGGAAATAAAGGGGTAATGGGATGTAGGCCTTCCGAGGAATCTGAAGAGATTTGAAGAAGGAGCCACCCCTTTTGAAAAGTCGGGGCAAAAACGTTCCAGACGGAAAGAATTGTGACGTGGTGGAGGAAAGGATGAAGACCACTGCGGCTGGGTCGGGGAGATGAGGGGGACAGTGGGGGAAGATGCATGCATTGAGCACCTAGACAAGCCTGACACTAGATGCTGTAATCGTCGTCTAATCGGGGTACTGTTATAACCCCATGTACAGTGAGCACACCTAGATGTAGGCAGTAAAGGGGGTTAAGGTCTTTAAAAAGGCCCCTGGATTCAGCGTGGAGAATGTTTTAGGAAGGAAGCTATAGTGGAGGCAGTGGGACAGGTTAGGATTTTGAAGTGCACAAGTAGTGATGATGGCCCAGGCAAGGATGAGAACAGGTGAAATGGGCACAGATTTGGGATATTTACAAAGTACAACCAACAGGACTTGTTGATGGATTGTTTGGGGAGACGGAAAGGAGGGATTGATGGATGACTCCTACGTGTGGGTAGAACAATGCCAAGTAGTTGGTAGTGCCAACGATAAAGGGCGCATTGAAAGGGAAATGGTGGTTCAGTTTTGGACATATAAGGGATCAGATTACATATCTCCCTCGTTAAACTTAGCCCTGCAGCTAGAGACCATGATGAAACTCAGCTTTAATATTTTCTGTCTTTCCACCCTCCCTCAGCCACCTCTAAGAAGTCAGGTACCCAGAAATGTTGCTTGGCATAAATTAAAAATGCTTTTTTAAAAATGTAGACCCTCCAGAAGCCTGATTCACCTCAAGATGTATTGGAATCTAACAAGACCTTGATCCAAATGACATACAGAAATGTTAAAGTCACACCTATTACAGAATTCACTTTGCTCCTTTGTGTTTATAACATCCACCTCTACCCTGCCCATTTAGAATCTTATACTTTGCACTAATACTAGTCGATGAGAAGGTGGTTACTGAGGTTGCAGAAGGAGATCTGTTCACATGATCAGCTCTGACCACAGTGAAATACACTTCTGGAGGGCAGAGACCATTCTAATTTGTTTTTGTATTCCCAGCACTTACTACAATGTCTGAAGGAATAAAAGTAGGGCATAAATTCTAGAAAATGCACCTGCGTTCCTGACAGCATCTCCATCTGGTTCCTTAAATTTTCACTTAACTCCTTTTTCCTAGAATCTTCTCTCAAGTTGTAAAATGATGGCCATTTACATTGGTTTCTTGATAATTGGTTCTGCAGTTATCCACTGACAATATTTAAGTCTGTTTTACCAATCATACATCCCAGTGCAACAACTGCAGGGCTAGTTATTAGTTATGTGTGGAAGTACTTAAAGGTACTAATACTCTTAGCTGGAGCCGCTAATTGAATTTCCAGGGGGAAAAGTGTAATTACCAGACCTGTTCATTCGCCTGGGATGTATTTCAGGATATACTGTACATTGAAAAATGATCCCTCTCTTTTTCTTTTCTTCAAAAATTTTTTTCTTTGTTGATTTTTAGAGAGAACAGAAGGGAGAGAGAGAGAGAAAAAAATATCAATGAGAGAGAACATTGATTGGCTGCCTCCTGCATGCCCCCCAACTATGGATTGGGCCCACAACCTGGGCATGTGCCCTAACTGGGACTCGAACTGGCAACCTCTTGGTGCATGGGTTGACGCTCAACCACTGAGCCACACTGGCCGGGCTGATTCCTCTCTTTTTCTTTTTTTTTTTTTTTTTTATCCTCACCCGAGGACATTTTTCCATTTTTTGTTCAGGTAGAGTGGGAGGGAGAGAGAGGAACAGAGAGAGAGAGAAACATCGATGTGAAAGGGACACATCGAGTGGCTGCCACCCGCACAACCGACCAGGGCTGGGGACAAACTGCAACCGAGGTACGTGCCCTTAGCGGGAACCGAACCCGGGTCTCTCCGGACCGCAGGCAGACGCTCTAACCGCTGAGCCAAACCGGCCAGGGCTGATTCTTCTCTTTTTCTACTGTGTAAAAGCCTTCATTGACAGTACATGTTCACTTGTAAGCTAAATATTGTAATGCTGGTTCCTCACATTTGTTATCCTTTGAATACCCTGTACATGCTCTTGAGAGTATGTACACACACAAAAAATCAACTTAATTAAAAAATATTTTACCTGAAATGTGTACATACAAATTAGTTCTTTTATAGTCCCATATAACATTTGCAAATTGCCTGCTTGTTAGAACAAAAAGCAATATTATAGAACATAAATCCTATAACTTAGTGGTTTCTTTAAATACCAGTACTCTAGTGTTGAATTAAGTTTGTAATGGCCAGTTACCCCAGATTTACTTGTATTGAACAACAGCTGAATCAATAGTTATTGCTGGCAAAAGTTGGAGGGGCTGTTATGCAAAAAAAATATAAATGTAACTATAAATATATGTCTGCATATATAATTCCTTTGTTATTGTTTAGTTAATTCACTAACTACTGGCCCCATCATATTGGTAAGATGGTTCCTCTACCTCTGCTGAGACTTACAAAACAAAACAAAAATTCCTGGGGGATAGAAACCATTTTAAACCCAACTTTTTTTTTTTTTCCCCCTTTATTGATTTTAGATAGAGAGGAAGGGAGAGGGAGAAAGAGATAGAAACATCAATGAGAGAGAACATCAATTGGCCACCTCCTGCATGCCTCCCACTGGGGATTTGGCCCACAACCTGGCCATGTGCCCTGACCCGGGAATTGAACTGGCGACCTCTTGGTGCATGGGTTGACAATCAACCACTGAGCTACATATACAACCAAATACTGAAAAAAAATTTTTTTGAATCCTCTCCCAAGGATATTTTTCCATTTACCTTCAGATAGAGTGTGGAGAGAGACAGACAGACAGACAGACAGACAGACACGTCAGCATGAGAGAGACACATCGATTGATTGCCTTCCTCAGGACCCAGGCCAGGGCTGGGACCAAACCACAACTGAGGTATGAGACCTTTACTGGAATTGAAACGGTGATTCTTTGGTCTGTGGGCCAACACTCCAACTGCTGAGCCAAACTGGCCAGGGCCTAAATTTTTTTCTAGGCAAACATGTATATATTAATTTTATTTACAAATGACCGAATTGAGAAATAAAGTACACACACACAAAAGAGAAATAAAGTACAGTTTCATAATTTAACTGTGAGAAGTAAGAAATTGGTGTTTCAGTGAGAATGATGTTATGTGTATGTGTGTGTGTGTAAATGACATTATAAATTTAACTAGAGTTTGAAAAGATGATACTGTCACTATCATTTAATTCTTAAATATGTGGATAATTTTATATCCTCTGGGCAGTAGGGAAATCAGAATTTATGCATTATTGATAGTCATAATATTTATAGACAGTCACTTGAATTATACCTATATTCCCGAGACAAAAGATGTCCTAGAATTGTTTTCTGAAAACTTGTTCTGGTATTGTCAACCATGATGAATTCTGGTGCCTAAAGGAGACTATATGAATCATAAGACATACATAAGACTATACTTTTCTAGTACAAATAATCTTCTAATGTGTTATTATTTATTATTAGTATCAGGAGAAGTGTTTTTAATTTTAATTTTTTTTTTTTTTTTACCTTTATAAGGAATTAAAGATATAATTTTGCTGTGTGGCCGGATTTTCTTACTACTTGCTCTTCTTACTTTAATTATTTCTGTGACTACCTCATGGCTTAACTCATTTAAATCTTCCCAAGTTTATCTGAAAGGTAAGTTTATCTGATTCCTTTACATATTCTAGAACTTTGCACAATAAGAACCATTTTACCATTAATTTGTGCAGTGTAATTTCAAGGTAATCATTACAACTTTAGGTTTTTTTTTTTTTGGTAAGTGCCATTAGCAGGAACTGAGCCTGGGACTCTCTGGTCCGCAGGCCAATGCTCCAACTACTGAGCCAAACCAGCCAGGGCTAGATATGATTTTTAATGGACCATAAATCCTAACATTTTTATGAGAAGTCATACATTTCCCTTATATATGTATTTGAAACTGTAACTTCTAAATTGGTACATTGCAAATTCTCATTTTAAATTGTGTTTGTGCAGCTTAACTGCTCTTTGATAGGTACAACTTATATAAACTATTCTACAAATGTTAAATATATTTACCATTAATCTCTAAAGGCTTTTTTTTTTTTTTTTTTTTTTTTATCCTCACCCAAGGGTACTTTTCCATTTTTTGTACAGATAGAGTGGGAGGGAGAGAGAGGAAGGGAGAGAGAGAGAAACATCGACGTGAAGGGACACATCGAGTGGCTGCCACCCGCACGACCAACCAGGGCCGGGGACAAACTGCAACCGAAGTACGTGCCCTTAGCGGGAACCGAACCCGGGTCTCTCCAGACCGCAGGCCGACGCTCTAACCGCTGAGCCAAACCGGCCAGGGCTCTAAAGGCTTTTCATCCTAAATTTTCTTCCATTCCATCCTGGCATTTATGCACTTATGTCTTGTGTATAGTTAGGTGCTATTAATTTTAGGAAACCATGCTCGTTTTTAGTTTAGTTTTATTTTTTTGACAAGTGAAAATTTGAGTATTAGAAGCCTTTTATCAGCTAATAATTTTTGCAAACCTGAATATAATTCCATACTTGTGTTCAGCATTTCTACCATGGTGCCAATACTTCTACAAGCTTCTTCTGCCACCTCTCTGAATGCTGGCTCAGGGTGAACAATTTGCACAAAATCAGCCAAGTCGGCCAATCTGCACAAAGCATTGGATAGCTTGTCAAAGATGAGCATGGTTGTAGCACTATCAGCGTGGAACATACACATGCCACCAGCAAGTCATTCTTCCTCAAGGCATTTCCTTGTGTGATACATAATCCTTCTGGGGCAGTATTTTTTTTCCCCGCTCACCAGAGGACATTTTTGCATTTATCTTCAGACAGAGCTGGAGGGATAGAGGGAGGAAAAGAGAGAGAGAAACATCAATGTGAGAGACACATTGAGTGGTTGCCACCCACTTGATCCCATCCAGGGCCAGAGACAAACTGCAACCAAGGTACATGCCCTTAGCGGGAACCAAACCTGGGACTCTCTGGTCCACTGGCCAGCGCTCTAACCGCTGAGCCAAACCAGCCAGGGCCTTCTGGGACAGTATTAGAAGCATTTTATTACAGTATTGTAGTTCGCCTCAACAGATCAATCCTAAAATTTATACCTACATTCTTATAGCCTATTAGAAGAAGTTTGCCAATAGTGAATTTGGGGCATTATGTTTTGTTTTGCTGTTTATGTAAATGTAAATAAATATAAAGGGAAAATGATCAGTGTTTAATTTATAGCCTTTCAGATTAGCTGTGAATAAAACCATAATCCTAAAAGTTTATACTATTCAACCCAAACGTAAGAGATAATGTGGATGTTTTAGCGTCTCCCAGTCATAGATTTTGAAAATGTTTTTTTCGCCCTGGCCAGTTTGGCTCAGCGGTTAGAGCGTTGGCCTGTGGTCCGGAGAGACCCGGGTTCGGTTCCCGCTAAGGGCACGTACTTCGGTTGCAGTTTGTCCCCGGCCCTGGTTGGTCGTGTGGGTGGCAGCCACTCGATGTGTCCCTTCACGTCGATGTTTCTCTCTCTCTCTCCTTCCTCTCTCTCCCTCCCACTCTATCTGTACAAAAAATGGAAAAATATCCTCGGGTGAGGATAAAAAAAAAAAAAAAAAAAAGAAAATGTTTTTTTCTTCTTTTGGTAAATGATTAGATCTCTCTTTTTTTTTGCATTTTATTTTGTATTAATTAATTTATTTTTGTTACAGATGTTTCACCTTTTTCTCCCATAGACACCCTCCTCCCGATTCCACCCCACCCCCACCACTAGCATTGTTGTCTATGTCCATTGGTTATGGATACATGTACATAAATGTTCTTTGGTTTATCTCTTCCCTCCCCTCGCCCCCTGAGGTTTGTCAATCTGAACCCTGCTTCTTTCTATGTCTCTGGGTTTGTTTTGTTCATCAGCTTATTTTGTTCCTTATATTCCACAAATAAGTGAGATCATGTGGTATTTGTCTTTCTCTGATTGGCTTTGATTTGATCTCTTATATTTCAAGTTATTTGATTGGGAAATTAAAAATAACTCATTTGGCCCTGGCCGGTTTTGCTCAGTGGTTCGAGTATTGGCTTGCGGTCCAGAGAGACCCGGGTTCAGTTTCCGCAAAGGGCATGTACCTCAGTTGCAGTTTGTCCCCGGCCCTGGTTGGGTCATGTGGGTGGCAACCACTCGATGTGTCTCTTTCACGTCGATGTTTCTCTCTCTCTCTCTCTCTCTTTCCCTCCCACTCTATCTGAACAAAAAATGAAAAAATGTCCTCGGTGAGGATAAAAAAAAAAATAACTCATTTGTAGCTTCTCTAAGAAACTCTATATTAAACACATTTTTATATCAGAAGGATATTTACTGCATATATTAAACTATCAGGTCAAGTATTCTATGTTTTACAAATAAGGGAAACATGCACCTGACAGTGTCTTAGCTTAAGTTGTGCCTTTATGGTGCTGGGAGTGCAAGTCATTTTGGTACATTTTTGGTTGATAATTTTGAGACATAACCATCACTGAAGGCTGAAACTGTATATAGGGCCTAGTTATTGTCAGATTTTCTTCAAATGAGTAACAAAAAAGAAATCAGCCTGCCCACACACTTTCTATCTTTCCTACTGTGTCATAAGCCTATTATAAGCATTCTTAAAGCCTCTTCATCAAAACTATAATATATAATACTAAAACATGTTTCACAACAGACCTTTTCTTACTGATTTTACTTGCAGATTTCTTAATTTCAACTGTCTGCATGTATCTCATTTTCATTATTTCAAAAATATGTTTTTTGAAAGCTTGTTTCTCATAAAATGTTAAGAGCTACAGACTGTTTTCAGAGAAAAATAGCATTCAATTTATTGATACTTGGGAGTTAAAAAAAAACATTTTTATGTTTTGGTGTCTTAGAAGAAGAAGAGAAGAATGAGCAAAGGCAAAAACTTGTGAGAAAAAAACAACAAGAGGCACAGAGTGAAAAGGTAAAGCATACTTTTTAACGAATATCTCTAAAAAATACAAAAATATCTGGGGCACTTAAAATTTAGGTCTGTTGCTCTCTGTGTTTGTGCATAGATTTTTTTTATTATTGAGGTCAAATTCACATGATATAAAATTAGTAATAACCTTATATTCATTTTTTTTTTTTTTATCCTCACCCGAGGACATTTTTTGTTCATATAGGGTGGGAGGGGGAGAGAGGGAGAGAGAGAGAGAGAGAGAAAGAGAGAGAGAGAGAGAGAGATATCAACGTGAAAGGGACACATCGAGTGGTTGCCACCCGCACGACCAACCAGGGCCGGGGACAAACTGCAACCGAGGTACGAGCCCTTAGCGGGAACCAAACCCGGGTCTCTCTGAACAACAGGCCAATGCTCTGACTGCAGGCCAATGCTCTAACCGCTGAGCAAAACTGGCCAGGGCTTCATTTCTGATATTTTTTTTCTTCGTTAAGTTAAAGGTTTATCAATTTTAGTGATCTTCTCAAATAACCAGTTTTTGGTTTCATTGTTTCTATTGTTTTTCTGTTAATTCTGTATGTTTTTATCTCTTCTATAATCTTTATTATTTGCTTTCTTATGCTAATTTGTTCTTTTTCTACTTTTTTTTTTTTTTTTTTCTATCCTCATCCGAGGACATTTTTCCATTTTTTGTACAGACAGAGTGGGAGGGAGAGAGAGAGGGAAACATCGATGTGAAAGGGACACATTGAGTGGCTGCCACCCGCACGACCAACCAGGGCTGGGGACAAACTGCAACCGAGGTACATGCCCTTAGCGGGAACCGAACCCCGGTCTCTCCGGACCGCAGGCGGACGCTCTAACCGCTGAGCCAAACCGGCCAGGGCTTTTTCTACTTTTTTAAAGTATAAAGCTAATTTACTGGTTTGAGATCTTCTTTAATTATATGTTTACAGCTATAACTTTCCCTCTTAGCACTGCTTTTGCTGTGTTCTATTTAAGATTGATTTTGATAGCTAGGAATTGCTTTTACCATGGATGATTATATCTAACAGTTATTTTCTTTTTTTTTTTAATTGATTGTAGAGAGGAAGGGGGGGAGAGAGAGAGAAAACCCCATCAATTTATTGTTTCACTTATTTATGCATTCACTGGTTGATTCTTGTATGTTCTGTGACCAGGGATCAAACCTGCAACCTTGGTATATTGGGACAATGCTGTAAACCAACTGAGCTACCCAGCCAGGGCTAACGGTTATTTTCTAGACCTTGAACTGTCAGGTAGCATTTGAGCAATTGCCAGATTGATGATTGACCTTTGTGAAAGAGAAGATTGCTATGGGCTTTCACCTAAATATTAAAAACCTAACCCGTTACAAAGTCCTAAGTACAAGGGCATTAATAGTTTGACACCACCCTGGCTGGTGTGGCTTCATTTTTCATGTTGGAGGCTTTCCTTAATCATCTGGAAATCTTTGGCTCTATCCCTTCAGATTTAAGAATGGTGCCCTAAGAAGCAATTGATGGTGTAGGCATTTGTAGAAATCTCATCAAGCTTTGTGTTCTTTACTGTTCATAGTTATATGTACTTCAGTGAAAAAAGGAGAATACAGCTAATTATAATTTTTCTGTATGTGGTCAGAGCTTGACTGTGTTGTCTGCTGGTACAGGGAGTACTCCAGATTAATGGTAGGGTGATTGGGGAGCAATTTAGCTTTGTCAGTAGCTCTGTGTTCCTCTTGTAGTTCACCTTAACTAAAACTTTTAGCTTGCACTCCTGCCCTCTACGAGGCCTGGGATCTGTGACTCTGCAGCCTCTCTGGTTCATATTCCTAGAGTTTAAACCTTCCAAGCCTGCCTTTATGTGGTAGGATAGTGGGTCTGGGGATCTAATAGCTCTTTTATCTTTTCTTTCCTCAAGAACCTCAGATGCAAAGAATTGAAATAGTCACAATCCTTAGTTCACTACAAAGTCATCACTGGTTGATGCATGGCTTCCCCCGACACCCTGTTTTCAGCTCTGTTCCTTACCCCCTGTCCCTGCCTTAGTGTCTGCTGTTTCTTCTTCCTGAGCTCTTCCAGGTCTGTGGAGTGCACTGGCTTGCTTCTTATTGTTAATCACCTTTACAGGCACTTAGGTTGCATCTTTCTCACTGTTATATCAGTTACCACTCCTCCATCTGCCCTCACATATAATGGTTTGGGGTTGTAATATTTCTTTGTTTCAACAGTAATGGAATTTGAGTTTCTGTTGTTTCTATAGTTGTTTTGGGAGTGATTTTCAAGAGGAGAGGGAGGCAAAAATAATGTCACTGTCATCTTAAAACCAGATTCTACATTTCTTTTGAGTCCAAAAATAGTTTCTATGTTAATATGATTGAGCTATTAATTAACGTTCTTGCCTTGAACAAACTGCCCTGATTTTAAGCTCCTAGAAGGCATCTTTGCATCCCCAGCCCTCAGTAAGATTTTGTTGTACTGAAAACACATAAAAGGATATAGAGGTGACTGCCATAAAAGCATAAATATAGCCCTGGCCGGTTTGGCTCAGCGGTTAGAGCGTCGGCCTGCGGTCTGGAGAGACCCGGGTTCAGTTCCCGCTAAGGGCATGTACTTCGGTTGCAGTTTGTCCCCGGCCCTGGTTGGTCGTGCGGGTGGCAGCCACTCGATGTGTCCCTTTCACATCGATGTTTCTCTCTCTCTCTCCCTTCCTCTCTCTCCCTCCCATTCTATCTGTACAGAAAAAAAAAAAGCATAAATATAGAACATTTGTTTTTATTTGCATTATGTACAAATGCAAATTTTTAGAGTGATGCAAAAGTGAAGGATGGTGCTTTTTTGGCAAAATTGAGTTAGTGTGAAAACAATTTTTTTTTCTTTTCAAATCCTCATCTGAGGATATTTTTCCATTTATCTTCAGATAGAGGAAGGAGGAAGAGAGAGAGAAACATCCATGTGAGAGAGACACATTGACTGGCCACTACTAGGGCTGGGGATAAGCCACAACCGAGGTACGTGCTCTTGACCAGAATTGAACCTGAGACTCGTTGGTCCACAGGCTGTCGCTCTTAAGTGCTGAGCCAAACCAGCCAGGGCTGAAAACACAATTTCTGACCTGATTCTTACAACTTTATTGACAATGTAAAAATCTTAAGAATATTAATGTATAGTAAGTAACAACACCTAATTTATTTCTTTGAACAGGCCAGCAGATACATAGAGAATGTTCTAAAACCTCACCAGGAAATGAAATTGAAAAAACTAGAAGAGCGCTTTTATCGAATGACGGGTGAAACCTGGAAGTTAAGCAATGGTCATAAACTTGGGGTTAGAAAAGATTCCATTTTTTATTTTGAATTGTGCTATGACTTATCTTTCATTTTACATATATTGATTTTTTAAAAATTTCAAGTGATGTAAAACTTTTAATACAGCCTTTTATAAGAGTCTTTATTAATGACTGTACATCAGTTTTTATTGAATGCATATTTATGTGTTGAACAGTTAAGTGCCTAAAAGTATATAACTTAGAGCCTTGAGAAGCTCTAACATAAGGTAATCTTGAAGAAAACTGTTGACTATATCACTGTGTTTTATATGAGGGAATTCAGATTTTTCCTCAAGAATGATATCTAAGGTATTATAAGCTCACATTATATTCATTTTGTTTGGCTCTGTTTTTGTAAAGTCAAATTAACCTTTGACTCTTTTTTTTTCCTTTGGCCTTGAGTATTAATTTTGCCATTTGCCACTGGAAGTTTGCAGTTTGGTAAGATTATTTCTGTCCCAAAAATTTATTTGCTTTCTGTTTATACTGCACCTTTCACCATCTTGTAAATAAAATGATTTAATAAAGGTGAATAGGATTCTTAGAGTGAAGCAGAATCAGTTTTTATTCATTTCATAATGGTAAATGTCATAAAACAATCAAGGATGGGTAATACAATTAATGTGAAAGACAGGTGACATAAAATGCTACTGTTTCATGTAGTGATTTCAATTCTGAGTTGAATTTGCCTTTTGTTCAGTTTTGTGGTGTTAGACATGGGTAGCCTGATTTTAGCCTGCCAAGTCTCTTTCTGAAACGGTCACAGTGTGAATTAGTCATTCTGCCTCTTGCTTTTAGGCTGTATCTTCTCCTATTAGGATATATTTTAACCTAGGTAGTGGGGTCAGCAAAAACACGGGGCAGACCTTCGGTGTTGTTATGATATAGGCTCTCAGGATTATCAAAGAACATAAGTGGAATATAGAACTGAAAGAAAGTATCTTATCAGCTGGTCCTGCCATGTAATTTGCAGTGAAGCAGCCTAAGTTTGGTCAGTTTATTGTTCAGCATTAAGATCTCTTTACTTCCATTCCCCATGTTCCTTCCACCAACTTCTCTTAGAATAAAGGAAAACTGCCCATCAAAATGGTGGCCATTTTAGTCTGATAAAGAGAACTTTTAGAAGGTCTGTAGATATGGAAGAAAGACATTAGTGAACTAATAAGTATACATTTGAGATTTTTAAAAAATAGACCTGGGTTCGGATTAAGAGCAGAGTTTAACCATGTTTATGTTTGTTTTTTTAACCCTCACCCGAGGATATTCTTCCATTGATTTTCAAATAGAATGGGGCGGGGGGAGTGGAAGAGAGAGAGAGAGAAACATCGATGCAAGAGAGACATCGATTGGTTTCCTGCTGGACAACCCCAACCAGCGCCAGGGATCGAACCACAACAAGGCATGTGCCCTTGACCAGAATCGAACCTGTGACCCTTTGGTCCACAGGCCGACACTCTAATTGCTGAGCCAAACTGGCCAGGGCAGTAGTTGTTTTTGTTTTTTTGTTTTTAAATAGGATTTTATTGATTTTAGAGAGAGAGGAAGGGAGCAGGAGAGAGAAACATGAATGTGAAAGAGAAACACTGATTGCCTCCTGCACGCCCCCTACTGGTGATTAAGCCCTAAACCCGGGTATGTGTCCTGACTGCGAATTGAACCAGCTACCTTTTGGTGCATGAGATGATGCTCAGCCAACCTAGCCACACCGGCCAGAGCTACATTTGAGAATTTGACACCTAAGTGAATTGTCTTGCTAAGGAAAAAGTTTTAAAAGGTAATATTAATAAAAATAATCTTAGTGATTTCTGGAATAAAATCCTTTGCCTCCTAAAGTGATTACTTTAAATGGAAGCTCAAAGGTTGAATTTGAGAACTAAATATGTTTATATATAACAAAATACTAGGGCTACATTCAGCTATGGAAGTTTTGCATAGTCATATACAGAGACATATTTTTACGTATATGTGCTATTTTCACAGCCTTTCAAGGCATAATTCCTTGCACTGCCTTGTTTCCTTTACTGAAAGGAGGAAAGGATATCTCCAGGTTTTCTTTCTTCCATCCTGAAAACCTTGGCGGTCAGTTAAATGGAAAGGTCTGTCTCAGCCTTGTATCTCAGACAGAACACCAGAGCCGGCTAAGGGTAGTGTCTACAAGCTTTATGTTTTCCGTCTAAGGAGATAATGCTTTAATTTTTGGGGTCTTATAATGACTTAATTATATTTTTTACTGAAATGCCATCAGGGTAAAAGAAAAAAACCATTGCAAATAAAATTGATAGAAAGCATCTCTTTAGAAACTGTGTGTTGTTTTTGACCAGGGTGACGAAGACTTGGTGCTTGAAAATGAGAGTCAGGCATCTTTTGAAACATCAAACAGAAGAGCAGCAAACAGACGGAACTTGCCTAAGCCTTCAACCAAAGTTTCACCAACCAGAGTTTCACCACCTGCTGAACAGCCCACGCAAAAGGAGGTTAGTTACTTTTTTTTTTTTTTTTTTAATCCTCATCTGAGGACATTTTTCCATTCTTTGTTTAGATAGAATGGGAGGGAGAGAGAGAGAGAGAAACATTGATGTGAAAGGGACACATTGAGTGGCCGCCACCCGCACGACCAACCACGGCCAGGGACAAACTGCAACCGAGGTACATGCCCTTAGCAGGAACTAAACCCGGATCTCCCTGGACCGCAGACCGACGCTCTAACCGCTGAGCCAAACCGGCCAGGACAGGAAGTTAGTTACTTAATGCCAGTTCATTCCATCGTGTCACTGTGCAGCAGGAATCTTGTTCTGTGGGTGAGGTGGTATACTGAGTGAAGAGGGACTGGCTTTTAATCCAAATGATGTCTTCCCACTACCTCATAAAGTGATCGCCTTCATTAAGAGTCACTTTTCCTGCTTACTATTAATATTCTGAACCACACTTAGAAGGAAGCTATGAAGATACATGATAATTGGTTTAGAAAATACTCAGTTCTTTTGAGGAAGTAATTTGATTTTGTAGAAATAAAAAATATAATGTTTACTAAGGAAGCATCCCTATGGGTAGCTAAGACATGATTAAGCCATATTTAGTGAGTGGCAAATATGAACATGAGTGTTGTATCATTTTTCTCAGCAGCCCTTCTAGGGAATGGGGCAGTGACCCTTCACTGTGGAACAGTGCCCAGGTTTATTATTCCTTCTTTCCTTTCAAATTTTTAATCTTTAAGTTTGGAGCTTAAGTTAGCAAAGATTAGAAATAAGAAGTCTGTCTTTACTGACTCTTAGGGAAAGCTGGTAGGTAGGTTATCCATCCAATCCTTGAAAGTAGTTTCTAATGTTTTGCTTCTGAGGTTTCCTGGTCGCTTAATGGAGAATCAGGTCATTGTACTATTTCTAACATTTCAAAAGATCTAATAAACTAGATGGACTAATTAAACACTCAAGATTCTTTGCCTTTTAAAAAAAAATATTTTATTTTATTATTTATTTATTTATTTTTATTTTCACCCGAGGGCATTTTTGCATGTATCTTCAGATAGAGCGGGAGGGAGAGAAGGAGGAAGAGAGAGAAAGAAGCATTGATGTGAGAGAGACACATTGAGTGGTTGCCACCTACATGACCCCAACCGGGGCTGGGGACAAACTGCAACCAAGGTACATGTCCTTAGTGGGAACCGAACCCAGGACTCTCTGGTCCGTGGGCTGACGCTCTAACCGCTGAGCCAAACCGGCCAGGGCTCTTTGCTTTTTGTTAATAGCACGGATTATTTCATGCTGATGGTAAATTTTGATGGACTGTCACATGCTTTTGCTATGAAAGGAAAACAGATGGTTTATTAAATGCAATTAGTGTTTGTTAGATAAAATGCTATGAAACGTGGAGTCTCTGGTATTGAAAAATAAAAAGTGTCCCTAGAGGTGAAATTGTTGGTAACAAATGTTTTTTTTAATATGTTTTTTTATTTTTTTTGAATCAATAATTAAGTTTATTAAGGATTTTGTTAGAAAAAGATTAGTTTTATTTATAAATGTATTGATTTGAAAAATTATGTTAAATTTTTTATCAACTTTTTTTTATTTTTTATCCTCACCCAAGGACACTTTTTTTTGATATTTTGTTCAGATAGAGTGGGAGGGGGAGAGAGAGAGAGAGAAACATTGACGTGAAAGGGACACATTGAGCGGTTTTCACCCACATGACCCAACGAGGGCCAGGGACAAACTGCAACCGAGGTAGGTACATACCCTTAGCGGGAACCAAACCTGGGTCTCTGGACCACAGGCGATGCTCTAACCGTTAAGCCAAACCGGCCAGAGCTCAACTTTTTTTTTTAAACTAGTGATGAGTAGACCTCTTAGTACACTAGAGCTTTCTTCCTCTAAGATTTACAATTTTTTTAAGTCATCATTTAGGTATTTGGGAAAACTCTGGCTATATCCAAGTCAATTTAACTACTTGTTAAACTATTTTTTTTTAATTTTATGTATTTTTTATTTATTAATTTGTTTTTGTTACAAATGTTTCTCTTTTTTACCCCATTGACACTTTCCTCCCCATCCCCTCTGCCCCATCCCCAGCTTTGTTGTCTATGTTCATTTGTCATGCATACTTGCATGTAAGTTCTGTGGTTTATCTCTTTTTCCCCAAACCCTCCCTCCTCTGAGGCTTGTCAGTCTGTACCCCACCTCTATGTCTCTGGGTTAATTTTGTTCAGCAGTTTGTTTAGTTCATTATATTCTACAAATCAGTGAGATCATGTGATATTTGTCTTTCTCTGCTTAGCTTGTTTCGCTTAGCATAATACTCTCCAGATCCTTCCATGCCATCTCAAAGGATAAGAGATCTTTTTTCCTTATAGCTGCATAGTATTCCATTGTGTACATGTACCACAGCATTTTAATCCACTCATCTACTGATGGACAATGTAGGCAACAAAATCTCACCCATCATACGCAGCAGAATTTTCGCTGATACAACACCTAAGGCAACAGAAACAAAGGAAAAAATGAACACATGGGACTACATCAAACTCAAAAGCTTCTGCACAGCAAAAGAAACAACCATCAAAACGGAAAGAGATCCCACTATATGAGAGACCATAATCGCCAATGAAGCATCAGATAAAGGGTTAATTTCCAAAATATATAGAATGCTCATACAACTCAACAAAAGGAAGACAAAGAACCCAATTAAAAAATGGACAGAGGACCTAAATAGACACCTCTCCAAACAGGACATACAAATGGCTAAGAGACATATGAAGAAATGCTCAACATCACTAATCATCAGAGAGATGCAAATTAAAACAACAATGAGGTATCACCTCACACCTGTCAGAATGACCACCATCAACAAATCATCATACAACAAGTGTTGGCGAGGGTGTGGAGAAAAGGGGACTCTAGTACACTGCTGGTGGGAATGCAGACTGGTGGAGCCACTGTGGAAAACACTATGGTATTACCTCAAAAGGTTAAAAATTGAACAGCCATTTGACCCAATGATCCCACTTCTAGGAATATACCCTAAGAAGCCTGAAACACCAATCAGAAAGAATATATGTGCCCCTATGTTCATAGCAGCACTATTTATTGATTTTTTTTTTACAGAGAGGGGAGAACAGAGAGAGAAAAGCATCATGTGAAAGAGAAACATGATTGGCTGCTTCCTGCACACTCCCTCCTGGGGATCAAACCCACACCCCGGGCATGTGCCCTGACCAGGAATCAAACTGGGACTTCAGTCTATGGCACAATGCTCAATCCACTGAGCCACCAGCTGGGCATTAAGGAGAGAAAATGGTCTGAACATTTGGTGTTTAAAGAGATGACCAGAAATAGGGAAGCACTTAGTGAATCAGCAGCCAAGTGAAGGGTTATTAACCAGTCCTGTGGAAGTGCCAGTGAAGAAAATACACACTCATCTTTTTTTTTTTATCCTCACCCGAGGACATTTTTCCATTTTTTCTTCAGGTAGAGTGGGAGGGAGAGAGAGGAACAGAGAGAGAGAGAAACATCGATGTGAAAGGGACACATCAAGTGGCTGCCACCCGCACAACCAACCAGGGCCGGGGACAAACTGCAACCGAGGTACACGCCCTTAGCGGGAACCGAACCCGGGTCTCTCAGGACCGCAGGCCGACGCTCTAACCGCTGAGCCAAACCGGCCAGGGCCACACTCATCTTAAATGTATATACACACAAGCCTAGTAATTTTGGGGTCTTATTGAACTTAATATCCTGTTTCTTTAAATAGTAGATCTTACATAGTATCTTGGAACATCACAAAAACAAAATTCTTCAAATATTTACAGATTGGTAGCTAAAAATCCTATTTTTATGATTTTTTTGTTAGAATAAAGTTGCTTACCCAGAAATGTTAATTAAGTTATTCTCATTGTAAACTTATTAATGAATATGAAATGAAAAGATTTCATTAAGCCTAGATGTATCTAAACTCTATATTGGAAGGAACTCTTCTCATTGAGGTTATTTTTTCCTTCAAAATGTTTACATTCTTATTGCTAATACTTACTTTTCTTTAGGTTCCAGATTTACCTGAAGAACCTTCTGAAACAGCTGAAGAAGTAAGCATATTTTCTTTTCTATTTCCTTAAGCATCAAGTATGTCTTATCTAAATTTGGGTTTTAAAAGTAAAGATGGGATAAGTGTTCTGTGGTTGCACTGTGATTAGGTCTTATTTTGAATATGGTATAATATCAAATCCCTCAACTGTTTTGGAAGCCTGACATCTGCTGAGTGTGATTTTTAGAGCCTAGAGGCTTCCTACTGCTTCAGGCAGAGATGAAATACATGGGCGTTTCTATAGAATTGTGCACCAGAAACCTATATGTTTTTATTAATCAATGTCACCCAATAAATTCAATTAATAAAAAAAAAAAGAATACATGAGCTTTTCTAAAACTTCAAGTCACGAAATGAGTTACTTATTGAAACAGAATCAAAATTGGCAGATAACTTCAGCCCTGGCCAGTTTGGCTTAGCAGTTAGAGCATTGGCCTGTGAACTAATAAGTCACGGGTTCGATTCTGATCAAGAGCACGTACCTTAGTTGCAGTTTGGCCCCAGCCCTGGTCAGGGTCATGCGGGAGGCAACCAGTCGATGTGGCTCTATCACATTGATGTCCCCCCCCACTCTCTCCTTCCTTCCCACTCTATCTGATGATAAATGGAAAAATATCCTTGGGTGAGGATTAAAAAAAAATAGGCAGATGACTGCAAATTTCAGTTTTTCTCTTAAAAAAGAGAAAACAGCCCAGCTGGTGTAGCTTACTGGTTGAGCGTTGACCCATGAACCAAGAAGTCGCTGGTTTGGTTCCTGGTCAGGGCACATACCTGGGTTGTGGACCAAGTCCCCAGTGGGGGACATGCAGGAGGCAGCCAATTGATGTTCTCTCTCATCGATGTTTTTCTCTCTCCCTCTCCCTTCCTCTCTCTCTAAAATCAATAAAGAAGAATGCCCTGGCCGGTTTGGCTCAGGGGTTAGAGCGTCGGCCTGCGGTCCAGAGAGACCAGGGTTCAGTTCCTGCTAAGGGCACGTACCTCAGTTGCAGTTTGTCCCCTCCCTGGTTGGGGTCATGTGGGTGGCAACCACTTGATGTGTCTCTCTCACATCGATGTTTCTCTCTCTCTCTTCCCCCCTCTCTCCTGCTCTGTCTGAAGATAAATGCAAAAATGTCCTCGGGTGAGGATAAAAAAAAAAAAAGAAAACAGCCCAGCTGGTGTGGCCAATCGATGTTCTCTCTTTCATCAGTGTTTCTCTCTCTCTCTCTCTCTCTCTCTCTCCCCCCCTCCCCCTCCCTCTCCCTCTCCCTCTTAAATCAATAAAGAAAAATTTTTTTTTTTTAAAATGAAAGAAAAAGAATGCAGCTACTTTTTAGATGTTTAAATGGAAGGATGGTCTGCATTGAGCGACTTTCTGCCCAATTGCTTTGTTATAATCTAAGTTGCCTTCCTGCCCTTGCCCAGCTTAGTTTGAGACATCTATCCAGTGCACAGAAGCATACATCTTTAAAGCCATTAAGTCATTTAAATGGCAAAAGAGAGCCCTGATGTTTTTCCATTACTTGGGACTCAGTGACAGTTATATTCCTTAAAACCATTTTTGAGACAGTCAAGAAAGCCATTGGGATTGTCTCATTTTTGTCAACACATTTGCAACATTTCAGTTAGTACTTTAGATGTCAGAGGAAAATCCAAAAGTCCTATAGAAATAGAGATAATTAAAAAAAAAAAAAAAGAGAGATAATGAAGTGTGTAATGCAGGGAAAACACAATGTTTAAAAGAACACAAAAACACCTTTTAATTCCTCCCTGTTACACGTGATAAATTTATGCCTATGATATAGCTCTATCCTGACACTTCTACATTCTCACTTCTTGTCAAGCTCTGGGTTGGTATCCATGACAACAATTTATAATTCAAGAGTATTTAAATAGAGCTCAGGTTTGACAGGGAACACCCTTTAGGAATTTACTCTGGCTTTTAAACACATGACATTATAGACCTCAGGTTGTGAGTGAATCTTTTTAAATTGTACCTTTTTGTGATTATATATAAAAGGACAGTGTTTTTTGCCCTGGCTGGTGTGGCTCAGCTGGTTAGAGCATTGTCCTGTACACTAAAAGGTGACAGGATTCCTGGTCAGGGCACAGGCCCAGGTTCTGGGTTCGACCCCAAGTCAGGGCACATGCAGGAGGCAGCCGATCAATGCTCCTCTCTTCCATTGATGTTTCTCTCTCTACCTTCCTCTCAAAATCAATTAAAAAAACTATTTAAAAAAAGGAGAGTGTTTTTCTTCACTTCTCAGATATGTGACTTTAAAATCGTTGAGAAACCCCTGCCACGGAGGCAGTTGATGTTACTCTCCTCTCTGTATGAGTTATTTATAGTCATTCCATTTTGTTTTCTTCTCTACCCTATTCTAGTACTTGGTAGGTGATATTTTGTGTTACACTCATTAAAGTGTATGTCAGAATAATGGAATTTTAGAGCTGGAATGAACCTAAACAACTCATCCCATCTCCTTCCTTGAAGCTGAAGCCACAGGTAGGAAGAGTTCCAAGGCACCTGCTGGAGAAGCCAGGCCTCTGGCTGTGACCAGTACTCTCCTCGTACCCACTCTGTAAGCAGTTCTGTCCCTCTTTCTTCTCTCTGCTCTGATTTTTTGGTTAATAAAGGCAATAAAATCATGGTAAATAATTGTTACCTGAGAATCATGGTAAATAATTGTTACATGTAAAAATGTATGCACCACGCATGTTGTATTAATTGGCACAAGCAACTTTTTAAAAAAGATTTTTAGAGAGAGAGGAAGGGAGAGGGAGAGAGAGAAACATCAATGTGGTAGCAAAACATTTATTGACTGCCTCCTGCATATCTCCCACCAGGGATCAGGCCACAACCCAGTGGCCTGTGCCTTGACTGAGAAACAAACTGGCAACCCCTCAGTGCACGGGATGATGCCCAACCACTGAGCCACACTGGCCAGGGTGGTACAAGCAACTTTTATAATGAAGTTTTATTATGAATGACACTAATGTATAGTTGATACTGCTTGATACTTTTACAGTGTATTCTATTCCACACCAATCAAGAAAAGCTAAATTCTGGAATATTTTGATTCTATTAGAAACATCAGTGGGCAAGACACTTTCCATCTCTACAGTTGCTACTGCTCATAGACTTCCAAGAAGTCAATGCAAAAATTCTTAATTCCCTACTAACCAGTCATAAGCTGGTGCTTTTATTTCCCTGATGACTTTAAATGTCCCATGCCATCTTTCAGTATTCTCCTGTTCTCATTGACCTAGATCTTGTTGTCACACTCTTGATCTAATGACCATTTCTGGGCAGTTAGCCTGGTCCCTCCAGACTTCTCTGCCTGGCCTTTCCCACCATTGCAGCAGACTTTTTCAGAATAATGAAAATAGTAAGCATGGAGTGTCATTATCATCATAAAAGTTCAGAAGTGTTCTATTTTAGGGACTATGCCTTTTCAACACACCCTCCATCTGTCACCTTAAGAAAGTTTTTTCAAAGTGAAGAAGACATGCCTGGGGTAGGGAATGAGAGATACTGTAGTTACCCAAGATTGTAGGGTACCTAACAATGTCTTTGTAAGTTATGTAGTCATAGTGTTTCTGGCATTCTGGCATTCTGTTTTGTCAATTTAACACAGTTTTGCTCTGGTATTAAAATCATTATATATATTACATAGTCATGACATGTCATCATATGTAAAGCCTGCCCTTGTCATAACAAGTATGTTTTAATCCTTAAGCTATATAACTTTCTTAAGAGAATATACATAAAATGTAATTTCACTTTCAGGAATACTAGAAATTATAATTTTCAGGAAATTCTCTGTTTCCTTATTAAAATTAGGCTCATTAAATGTCTGGTGTCATCCACAGAATAGAGAGACATTTTTTATAACTCTGTATTGCTAAGGAAAGGGACTAACATTCATTTTAAAGGTTATCAGAACCAGGTGAAGTTTCCACTGTATGTATATATATTTCTGTACATATAACTGTGTCTCTGTAATAATGAGCCATATGAGAAAATTCCTTTGAGAGTGGACGTTTGCTTGGATTTAGGAGCCGACTAATAGATGAGGGAACTAATGACTAACGGATTTATGATAAGGGATGGAGGGATGTGAAATAAATGAATGCAATTCTTTTTAAAGTAGTACACCCTGATTTTTTTTAGTGCCTGTTATGTATTTAGCATTACAACTATCCAAAGAGTTCTAAATAGTATGGTAAGACTTAAAAATGAGAGGAGGAAATAACTCATGGTCTAGAATTAATAATAGAATATTTACCATATGTTGCTGTTCTACTTTTAAATTGAAAAGAAATTAACTGTAGAATTTAAGATAATTTGAAAATAATTTTGCAAATCATCATATAATGTTACCATATTAACTATTTTTATTATTGCATGCTATCTTATAATTTTAAAGAGTACTTGGGAACCAAATTAAAAAAATGTTTTTATTTACTTCTTAGAGAGAGAGGAAGGAAGAGAGAGATAAAACATCAATGTGAGAGAGAAATATCGATTGACTGCCTCACACATGCCCCCTACTGGGGATTGAACTCACACCCCAGACATGTGCCCTGACCAGGAATTGAACTAGGAGTTCTCAGTCCGTGGGACAGTGCTCAATCCATTGAGCCACACCAGCCGGGCACTTGGAAACCAAATTTTAATTATTGCTGCTGCTTTTTTATTTTTTTAAATCCTCTTTCATTTATCTTCAGATAGAGTGATAGGGAGAGAGAGAGAAAGAGAAACATCGATGTGAGAGAGACATTGACTGGTTGCCTCTCACATGACCCAACCAGGGCTGGGGACCGAACCGCAACCAAGGTACGTGCCCTTGACTGGAATCAAACCTGAGACTCACTGGTCCGTGGGCCAACGCTCTGACTGCTGAGCTAAACTGGCCAGGGCTGGTAGGTCACCTTTGAAGCCCAACTGCAATCTGGATGTGATCTGGGCAACAGGATTGTTTAGTCTCTGGTGTCCCCTCCGGAAGGCTTGTCACTGATCCCCTCAATCAATAGGAAGATGTTTTTCAGTTTCAGGATTACTTCTATGTTTAGGGTGACTTTTATCTGAACCTTTATGTTGGTCTACTCTCTCAGAGCTAAGTTCCTGCAAAACCTCACGTGAGCTTTTATAATCACAGATGTTATAATTTTGGAATTGCATAGAGCAGTGGATTGGAATTCTTATCTGAACATTGCTATTCCTCAGGTAGTTACTGTTGCTCTCCGGTGTCCACGTGGAAGTGTCCTGAGGAGAAGGTTTCTTAAGTCTTGTAGTTCACAGGTGAGGAAATTCATATTTTGAGAAATATTTGTATTGAATTTGACAGTAGTTCATTCCCATGCATTGGGAGAGGCATTATCAATCACACTGTTGTCTGGTACACTCATCACTTACATGTAGTCCATGTCGAGCATAAAGGGCATTTCTGTGCATTCTATGTTGCAGAACTTTGGGTAAATAGGCATGCTGAGTCCTCCCCCCCCCCTCCCCTTATTGATTTTAGAGAGAGAGGAAGGGAGAGGGAGAGAGAGATAGAAATACCAATTACAGAGAACATTGATTGACTGCCTCCTGCATGCCCCCCACTGGGGATTTGGCCCACAACCTGGGTATGTGCCTTGTTTGGGAATTGAACCAGTGACCTCTTGGTGCATGGGTCGACACTCAACTACTGAGCCATACCAGCCGGACATGCTGAGTCCTTTTGAACTGTGATTTCTGCAATTTTTTTCAGGTTTTCTTTTTCCTGTTATTTTATTTGTTGTTGTTTTTTATTATGATTACATTTTCACAGCTTAGTGGGTAAGATGCTTTCAAAGCAGCCAGTATTAACTTTGTTCCCATTATCCATTAGTTCCTGCATATTTTGGATGTGGCTTAGACTGTGATCTACATAATCTTTCCCCAAATGCTAACCTTTTGTTCTCAGTTGTTGTTTTTTTCCATTCTTTTTTTTGTCTTTTCTTTTTGTTTCTCAGTCTTTTCATCGAGTAATCTTTCCCTTCCCTGTGATTGGGGCCTTGCTGTTTGTTAAATGCCTCTGCTGGCTGTGGGAGCCAGTGGTCCCTAGGCCTTAAACAACATGTAGTAAAGGATATTCACATCTCAGAATCCATGGCATGCTCTTTTTCTTTACACTCCAGAAAGTCCCTTTGAAAGATGTAAAAGTTCTGTTTCATTATCCCTAGGGACATGTTTTACAATGAACATCGTAAAATATCATGGTGACCCTGAGGGAAACAAGTATGTAAAGTATTAACAACTATGTTTCTTATCTTTTAGGTTCTATTTGACTGGATGATGAACATTGGGTACGACACATCCCTGTACAGCCTTTCCACTTCCTTTCCTAGGCGGCCTCTGGAAGTGGAGGGAGGCTGGTCACTGCAGGACATAGGAATAACCGTGGACACTGTCCTCAATGTGGAAGAAAAAGAGTCAAGCAGCTAGAAACGAGAACTACCTGTTCTACATAAAATCAGTTATGTCATGACCTTACAGGACACGGAAGGATCCACATGAAAATTAAGCCGCACCTCGACTGAGCCCAAGGCAGTATACGCCTTGATGCTGAGACCCATGGGAGTACATGGACAGGGAGGGTTAGGAAAGGAGTGCTCTCTGCGTAACACTTTTTGGAGTGTGCCATTTTATAATGTACCAAGTGAGAACTAGGTAAAAATGTGCACAATAAGGCACTCTGTTTATTTTTTCTCCTAGCTGATACCATTTATCAGTATGTTGGAAAACAAAGCCATTTGCCTCTTCAATCCATCATAATCACACTATATTTCATAATCCAGTGAAACTCTTCACAGTCTTAGAAGTAGGAATCTTTATTCTGCTGTATTTATAGAAATTAAAAACTTTATTTTTTTTAAAAATTTTTTTCCTTTATTGATTTTAGAGAGAGAAAAAGGGACAGGGAGAGAGAGAGAGAAATATCGATGAGAGAGAACATCGATTGGCTGCCTCCTGCATGCCCCGCACTGGGGATCAGGTCCATAACCTGGGCATGTGCCCTGACCGGGAATCGAACTGGCAACCTCTTGGTGCATGGGTCGACACTCAACCACTGTGCCACATCAGCTGGGCAGAAATTAAAAACTTTAAAAGAATATTCAGTCCCTTACAGATTTAAAGTTCTTTTTGATAGGCATGTGTTAATCTTTACGTAATAAATGTTTGAGATTTATATAATTTTGCCTTGCGTTAAATTGTAACATGTACAAAGTTTCAGGTGGGCCATTTTAAAAAAATAAAATGTGGTGATTTCATCAAGATGGCGGTGTAGGTAAATGTGGTATCGCCTCCTCCCACAACCACATCAAAATTACAAGTAAACTACACAACCACCATCCTTCAGAACTGCCTGAAATCGAGCTGAATGGAATTCCTACAACTATGAAATTAAAGAAAAATACACATGGAGACTGGTAGGAGGGGGGTGGAGGCACAGAGGTGCAGATGGGTTGGTCCCACACCCATGTGTGGCAGATAAAAGTCAGGAGGGCTACCTTAGCTGAGTAGCAAGGGGTCCTCAACCCACACCAGGCCCCACAGCTCAGGGTTCCAGTACCAGGAAGAGAAGTTCCCATTAACTTCTGGCTGTAATAACCAGCAGGAACTGAGGCTGAGGGAGGCTGAGGCCTCTGGAGTCCCAGGCAGTTACTCCTAAAGGACCTGTATATGGACTTACTGGGACTCACACCCTTCGGGCTCCAGCATTGGGGAGGCAGCTTGAAAGGCACCAGAGACATATGGGGAAGAACTGAATTGTTTGGCATTGGAGCCAGAGCTGGAGAGGTAGCTTTCTCCTGGACAGACATGCCAGAGGAGGCTGCTGTTCCTTTGATGAGCCCTTTCCCCATGAGGCTGGCAGAGGGCGCCATATCTGGGACTCCTGGGACTTGGCTCACACTGTTTGCTCTACCCTGGTGATTCCCTGAGGCCCTGCCCCTCCCAACTTTTAGGCCCACCCAGGCTGTTTGCAGTAGCTTCACCATAGGCATGGCCTGGCTGCCTTGGCTCCTGCTTCAGATTTTCCTCAATTCTCTCAAGCAAACAGCATCTGGCCTCAGCCAGCCCTATCCCTCTAGCTAACTGGCCCCAGGCCTGGCTCTAGAAGCAGCCAGCCTTAGTTCACAGCTTGGCTTTGCTTGGTCACCTCCAAGTCCAGCACAAGAAGCAGACATCTGTAGATCAATTTGTAGCTTATGTCTGGTGATCCCAGATAGAACACAGCGCCAGCACACCCAGTGGACAGCTTCAGACCATGTCGAAGCACCATCACCCAACCACCTCCACAAGTGACACACTCATGGAGTAGACTCAGTGGGTACCGAGCCTCACTGAAGTAAGCCTTGCTCTGTGTGGTGGGCCCCTGCATGGCTGATCCTCCAAGGTAGTCAGAGGCCAGTGGTCAGTGGACACAACCAGTCCTTGAAGCTCATCAGTCTGAGTAAGTCTCTCCCACTGATGTGCCAACAACAATCAAGACTCAATTACAACAGAAGGGTGGACAGTCCACACTAGGGGTGCACCTCGAGGGCCCAGCTGGAGTGACCAGGGAGGCTGTGCCATTGGACCCTGCAGGACACCTACTATAATAGGCCACCCTAGGAAGCCTAGGAGACATTGCAACTCTACCTAATAACTTAGAAACAAACATGGGAAGGTAGAGAAAAATGAGGAGACAAAGAAGCATGCCCCCCCCCCCAAAAAAAAAACTCTAGGAAAAGAACTAAACAAAATGGAGATAAGCAATCTAACAGATGTAGAGTTCAAAACACTGGTTATAAGGATGCTCAAGAAACTTAGAACTTAAAGGAACTTAGAACTTAAAGAACATAAAAAAGAGCCCTGGTTGGTTTGGCTCAGCGGTTAGAGCGTCAGCCCACGGTCAGAGAGACCTGAGTTCGGTTTCCGCTAAGGGCAGTTTGTCCCCAGCCCCAGCTGGGGTTGTGTGGGAGGCAGCCACTCGATGTGTCCCTTTCACGTTGATGTCTCTCTCTCTCTCTCTCCCTCCTATCTGAACAAAAATAGAAAAATGTCCTTGGATGAGGATAAAAAAAAAAACACATAAAAAAGAACCAGTCAGAAATGAAGGATGCACTAATTGAAATAAATAATAATTTACAGCCCAGCTAGTGTGGCTCTGTGGTTGAGCCTTGACCCATGCACCAAGAGGTCGCTGGTTTGATTCCTGGTCAGGGCACATGCCCAAGTTGTGGGCCAAATCCCCAGTGGGGAGCATATAGGAGGCGGCCAATCGATGTTCTCTCTCACTGACGTTCCCATCTCCCTCTCTCTCTACAATCAATAAAGAAAAAATAATAATAATTTACAGGGAATCAATCGTACAGTAAGTGAAGCCAAGAAGCAAACCATTGATTTGGAATATAAGGAAGCAAAAAATACCCAATCAGAACAAAGAATCCAAAAAAAATAAGGATAATGTAAGAAGCCTCTGGGACAACGTAAAGCATACCAACATACACATCATGGGAGTGTGAGAAGGAGGAGAGTAGAAATTGAGAACCTATTTGAAAAAATAATGACATAAAACTTCCCTAACTTGGTGAAGGAAAAAGACATACAAGTCCAGGAAGCATAGAGAATCCCAAAGAACATGAACCCAAAGAGGTCCACACCAAGACACATCATCCTAAGATTATCAGCCCATTTCTCTCTGGTCTGCGGGCCGATGCTGTAACTGCTGAGCCAAACCAGTCAGGGCTCAGCTCATTTCTCAAAAGAAACTTTCCAGGCCAGAAAGGGGTGATGAGATTTCAAAGTGATGAAAAGCAAGAACCTACAACCAAGATTACTCTATCCTGCAAAGCTATCATTTAGAACTGATGGACATATAAAGAGGTTCCCAGATAAGAAAAATCTAAAGGAGTGAGTTAGTTCATCACCATCAAACCCGTATTATATGAAATGTTGATGGGTCTTCTTGAAGAACAAAAATATGAACAATAAAATGGCAATAAACACACATCTATCAACAATTGAATACAAGCAAAATGAGCAAGCAGAACAGAAACTGACTCATAGATACACAGAACTTTTTGTTGGTTGCCAGATGGGCGGGGGTTGGGCGGGTGGGTGAAAAAGGCAAAAGGATTAGGAAGTACCAATTGGTTGTTAGATGGAGGAACCTCAAAGGCAAGGAGGGATGGGGGTGAGAAGAAATAATCAAATAACTTACATGCATTTATGCATAACCAGTGGACATAGACAATTGTGTGGGGAAGGCAGGAGGGGGATGGGCGTGGGGAGGAGGGGGTCAATGGGGGAAACATGGGGGAACATCTGTAATACATTCAACGATAAAGTTTAAAAATTAAATAAAAAAAACAAAAAATTATCCTTGGGTGAGGATTAACAACAAAAATAAAGTGTGGTATAAAAGGCTATTAGCTTTGTTCTAGTAACTCCCTTTTTCTTTTCCTATGCTCTGTCTTAAGAGTCAGTTAGCTTGATTCCTCAGTGTAGTGCCCCTTATTTAATTCTCCTTTATACCACTTATGTAGAATTTATTACATTGTATTGTAGCTATGACTTTGTTTTCCCAAACACATAATTCCTTCCAAGCAAGAATTGTGCACAGCTGGTGTGGTTTTATGGATGGAGCAACTCCCATGGACTGAGAGGTCCCGGTTTGATTATGGGTCATTGCACACCTCCCAGACAAGAAAAAGCTAAAAGAGTTAATCACCACAAAACTAGTATTACAAGAAACATTAAAAAAACTTCAAGAAAAAAATTAAAACTATGAATAATAAAATGGAAATAACTATATACTAATCGATAATTACTTTAAGTATAAATGGATTAGCCCTGGCCGGTTTGGCTCAGCGGTTAGAGCGTCCGCCTGTGGTCCGGAGAGGCCCGGGTTCGGTTCCCGCTAAGGGTATGTACCTCGGTTGCAGTTTGTCCCCGGCCTTGGTTGGTCGTGCAGGTGGCAGCCACTCGATGTGTCCCTTTCACATCGATGTTTCCCTCTCTCTCTCTTCCTCTCTCTCCCTCCCATTCTGTCTGTACAAAAAATGGAAAAATGTCCTCGGATGAGGATTAAAAAAAAAAAAAAAAAAGTATAAATGGATTAAATGCTGTAATAAAAAGACATAGGGTAGCCCTGGCCGGTCTGGCTCAGTGGTTAGAGCATCGGCCTGCGGTCCAGAGAGACCTGGGTTCAATTCCCACTAAGGGCCCGTACCTCGATTGTAGTTTGTCTCCGGCCCTGGTTGGGTCATGTGGGTGTCAACCACTTGATGTGTCCCTTTCACGTTGATGTTTCTCTCTCTCTCCCTCCCACTCTATCTGAACGAAAAACAAAAAAATGTCCTCGGGTGATGATAACAAAAAAAGACATAGGGTAGCTGAATAGATAGGAAAATAAGACCCCAGTGTTCATCATAGATGACTGGATAAAGAAGATGTGGTATATATAATGGAATATTACTCAGCCATAAAAAAGAATGGAAAAATGACCATTTGTGACAACATGGATGGACCTGGAGGGTAGTATGCTAAGTGAAATAAACCAGACAGAGAAAGAGAAATACCATGTGATTTTACTTATATGTGGAATCTAAAAAACAAAGTACATGAACAAACAAAACAGAAACAAACTCAGATAAGAATACACTGAGGGTTGCCAGATGGGAGAAATGTTGAGGAAATAAGTGGAAGGGATTAAGAAATACAAATAGTCATGACATATAAAATACAGCAGAGAGAATATAGTCAATAAAATCATAATAACTATGCATGGTGTTGGGGGTACTAGACTTATCAGGGAGATTGCTTCTTAAGTTATATGTATAACCACTATGATGTACACCTGAA